TAGAAGAAATTAGCTACTATTTAATCATTAATTATAATTAATAACTACGTAAAGACTAAATAAAAATTCTTTGAATTAAAATTTGTTAAAATGTTGTAAATGCATTTATTTAGTGCGATTAAAAAGTGTAATTTTCAAAAAAAAATAATAATAATTTGTTATGAAAGCAATTTAAATGAAATAAAAACGTAAATAAATTATAAACCGGATGATATTAAGATTGATTAAAATTTAAACCCATGTTAAAGTCCTATTCAAATACTAAAAATACACGACAGCAATTGTATCACTTTGTACCTCAACAACATACACTTACATATACAAGGCAGATATGTGTAAATTATAAGAACCGCCTGTGTTGATAAAGAAATAGCTGAATTGCGTACTTTTGAACGGAGGTAAATCATGTCTCCAACTTTTTCTGCTTTAATGAACTTCACACCTTATGAAATTGGCAAAAACATCGAGCATTATTCATTTACGCAACCTCCACAATGCCTTCGTGAAACCGCGTCCACAGTCGCCTATGTAAAAGCGGCCATAAAACGCACTTAACTCGCGCTGACTGTGTGCGACCTGTAAAAACCACAAACAAAAAAAAAAAAAAAATATGTGAAAACAATAATTATCATATAATATTTGTTGTTGTAGCATTTTTATATCTGTTGTTGACGTTGCTTTTTACTGCCATAATTAATGTTATTTCATCTATGCAGTTATTGCGTTTTTATTGTTGCTGTTGGCGTTGCCGTTGCCAGTGCATTTAGCACAATTATAAATAATTGAAATTTATATGACAGCAACAAGTGCAGTTGGCTTGAAATGCTGCTACACTTGACAATTTACCAAGTAATTAAAAGCGGGTAATCATTACTTAACGCTGCATTGATTTGCTATACGTCGCGTATTCCTGTGTGCATGTGTGTATGTGTGAGTGTGTGTATTAAATGATATTTGTGTATATTTTGAAGYGAAAAAATATTTAACAAATAGTTTTTTTAATGTTTGGCTATTAATTTATAGTTATAAAAAATATATGAGTTTTCACAGCTAACAACGAACTTAACTGCTTATGCTTTTATAACGCCATTTACTCACTTTTCGTTTTTTCTCAACCGATTTGTAGGTCCCATCTCCGTSGAGGATGAGGTGGACGTGGATGTGGTCGATTGCAGCGACTCGGAGGAGGCACCACCGGCGAAAGTGCGCCGCCTGCATCACAGTAATAGCCACAGCAATAACAACAACAGCAACAGCCACAACCATAATAACAGCAGCTCRTCCCAAAATCATCTAAACAGCAGCACAACCAGCAGCCAGGGCCGCTCCACACCGCCACAATCGCCCGGCTCCGACACGGAGGAGCGCCTGACCCCCGAACCTGTACAGAAGACACCAAAAATCGTCGGCTCCTGCAACTGTGATGAACTGAAGCCAGTGCAGTGCCATTTGGAAACCAAGGAGCTGTGGGATCGCTTTCATGAGCTGGGCACCGAGATGATTATCACCAAAACCGGCAGGTATGTTCACGAAAAATACATTTTTAAAAGCTTAATTTTACGAAAACATAAACTAGTATTCTATTTGGGGGCAGCTACKGCGTAACAATAGCTACAAAGCTGGTGGTTAAGTGTCGCGGTTGGCTTCTCACACAGCCGCGGAGACATGTCCACAGTCCGAGCCATTTACATATTGTATGAGTGTTTATTACAAAGCTACGTACCTGTGTATTTACAAATTGTACACTGGCGATCGGTTGTTGCATGTATTTTGAGCAAACATGCAAATGCTGCATTAGTGCGGTTTGCTGCCGCAACACGGGGCTCCGTCAGCGGTCGCCGTTGCAACGCTTACACCAGCTGTAAAGCTGCAAACAGGCGACAGTTCAGTCTGCTCGCAGCGCGGCAGCGTCATGTTGCGTTTGTGGCAATAAACACTCCACTAGACGTTTTTGTTGTTGTGCAGCAAATGGTTCCTAATTCCGGGGGAAATAAACTCCTTCGTTTCGTTTGCTGCATTTATTTGTATTTTCACGTCGCTTATTTGCTTTATTTTATAACAAATTACCTTGTAATGTGAGTAGATTAACGGCAACGGATAACAGGAAAAAAAAACAACAAAAATAAGATCAGAAGGTTTCGTGGCSACGCATTCGCATGTGGCAACACATTTTAATCCTTTTCTCTTTCGTATTTATACACCAGCAAATAATAACGGCGGGAAAGTCAACGAAAGGACCCACCGCTGTGTGGTAAATGGTGCGCTAAAAGCATATTTTCTTGTTAAACATTTTCGCGGCGGGAAGCAAGTATGCCTGAGCTGTGGATCGGCGTAAGACTCTATTTGAAGGAGTCAACTTTTACCGTGGAAATGCTAGAAAAACAAGCAAAAACATAAATTAAGCATAATGAGGTGCCACAGACGACAATTGATGTGTTGCAATGAACTTGCAACATGTCGAGAGTTCCGCCACCAATGATGGTGCACATATTTCACACAACTTCCAAAATCTCATAAATGTTTCCTTGTAATTTAGGAAACAAAACCTAATTTTCTGCAATTTTCTTTTAATAAAAACTACAAAAGACMATTAAAGGTTTCGAACACCAGCACCTAACATTTCCCAGAAGCTGTGTGTGGGTTCTGATCACAGCAGTCTAAGTCTCAGGATTGCAAAAAAGTGYCAACAGTTGCTGTGTCCCACAAATGTCAGAATATGGAACAGRACGAGCTGTTTTGTCCTACATGTCCCGAACAATCAATCTTGCCAACAATTATTGGTCAGTATGCTCTTTGCCGGATTGTGGAATGCTTAGGGCGTTGCAATTGTCAACAACAGCAAAAACAACGGTGGACGTATTATTTTTCTATTTCTTTTCATTTTCACTTTGCTCGGTTTTTTTTTTTGTTTTTGTTTTTTTTTTTYGCCTTTTGCGTTGCTTTATTTGTGTAGTTTGCATTTTGATTTCCCGAAGACAGCAAACGACGCTAGGGGGTCGGTCGTGCGATTTTTACATCCAAGTAGTTGTGTGCTGTCATAAAATGGATCTCTTTTTTCGCTGACCACACACGCAACGCATAAACCAGTTACACAAACAAAACAACAACAACTAGTGCGTGTGTGTGTGTTTGGCAAATAGGAGCGCTGGTTGTTGTGCCACTAAGCAGGAAGCGAAAATCAACGCTGCTCTGCTGTGCGCTGCTTCGGCGGCCATCGCCGCGGCAGAGTATGCGACAACCGCAGCCACGCTGGAGCGAAACAATGAGTGACCACCAGCCACTTTCGCAAAGCGCACACTGCGACGCAACTTGTTTATTGGCAACACGCAGTTAGACGCACACACACACACACAACCGCATGCAAATGTGCTGCTATGTTTCCTGCGCTCACATTTAATGATATTGTAAAAATCACACCTAACAATCAGGGCGGTCCCCGTAACGAATTCACCATTCAATTCGCCGCTTCATCCCCGTTGACACGACGCACCGCGCCACACCGCGCCCTCACCCGTAAGCACGACTGCGTCTGTTTCTGTATTTCTGTTATTGTCGCTGCAGTTATGTCATCTAGTGCATGAACACACACACACACGAGTGCGTCCAAATTCAGCAAATCAGCTCAACCGTGTTGGCATGCTTGTTGTTTCTGTTATCTTCGCTGCTGCTGCCTGCACTGTGCAGCTAAGTGTTTGTATGCGGTATTAGGACCATTAAAACCGCAGGATACTTGCCAGTTGTCATTGACTTCTTGGCGTGAAGGTAGACAAACACACAGCGCACAAATCGTGTACAAAGAACAAACAACAACAGTAACAACAACAAAATGGCTTAAAGAAAAAACGCCTCAATTGAGTTTGTTTACAGGCAACAAAGGTGTGATGCATAATGGAAACACAAACAGCGCAAAGCAATGGAGAAAATCCCCGTAAGATGGTTAAGAGTAACCAGGGGACAAAGCAGTGTGCAGCGGGATGTGTARTGAGCAAGGCGAGGTTGTGTCGCTGTGCGTAGGGGGAAAGGATTTAAGGCATAAATTTAAGGATTTTCGCGCAGACAAACAGGCATAGCACCGATTGTGGCCCGGCCACCATTTAGGCCTTTCACAGACAGTGTGGCAACCTGTGGTGCCAGCGACTTGGGCGACTTTGCCCACACATTTCGATTTTATCRCCTAGGCACCTAGGCTTATGCCCCGCTCAAACGAATACGAATACATTACTCGGCAATAAAAATCACAGCACTGCGCTGCTATAAAACATAGCCATATCTTTAGCSTATTTGTGCATGTATATGTGCGTGTATCATATTCTCGACACAAAAGTGATTTTTCATAATTGTGCAWGTTTCATTAATTCTTTATTTACTTTTTTTTTCGTTATTCTCATAGGCGTATGTTCCCCACCGTACGYGTCAGCTTCTCTGGTCCGCTGCGACAGATTCAGCCTGCCGACCGTTACGCCGTGCTACTCGATATCATACCAATGGACTCGAAGCGTTATCGCTATGCGTACCATCGCTCGGCTTGGCTAGTCGCCGGCAAGGCTGATCCCGCACCGCCAGCGCGTCTCTATGCGCATCCGGATAGTCCATTCAGCTGCGAGGCGCTGCGCAAACAGGTTATCTCCTTCGAGAAGGTGAAACTAACTAATAATGAAATGGATAAGAATGGACAGGTGAGTGTTSTGCTGAAGCACTACAAAATCTRTRTACATACTTATGAATAGTTGARTAGTATCTTGTTGCTATCTGACATATGTGAGTGTTGTTGTGCTGCTATGGTATACAAGTAATAAAAATGCTGTCTCCAACACCGCGCAGAAAACAGACGTTCAACAAATAGTAGAGTAAAATAGAAGAGTATATAATTTGTATGGAAAACTCAATAGTTCACAATAAAAATATCAAAATTTCTTTAAAACTAATGTAAACGAATGCAGACTTAYTTAAATACTTGCCGAACTTCAAAATCGAATTTAAAATTCTGTTCCATAAACCAAAGAAAGCGCCATTGCTATTTTTGCGCAGTCTGCATCCCCTGCCATCCAACGACCATTTTATTTCCTCTACTTATTCGCTGTTGAGTGTTTCTCCAACAAGCTATTTCAGCTACACACAGGCCACTATGCTTTGAGTAGAGTTAAAAACGCGCATGCGCGCTCTCAAACAACTGGMAGTAATAAAACAGCACAACAACTCTTACCACGTACTAAAAGTCTACATTTCTTGCACAAACAAAATACTAACTTTCCAMAATCTTTTTGCCTTTGCTTCCAGATTGTTTTGAACTCAATGCACCGCTATCAACCGCGCATTCACTTGGTGCGTCTCAGCCATGGCCAAAGCATTCCAACAAACCCGAAGGAATTGCAGGAACTCGACCACAAAACCTACGTTTTTCCCGAGACCGTCTTCACGGCAGTCACCGCATACCAAAACCAACTCATCACCAAACTGAAAATCGACTCGAATCCCTTCGCAAAAGGTTTCCGCGATTCGTCACGCCTCACCGACTTCGATCGTGATCCCATGGAAGCTTTGTTGCTAGAACAGCAACTGCGCTCACCGCTGCGTCTCTTCCCCGATCCGCTGATGCAACAATTTGCCGCACAGCAAGGCGTCGATCCCACCTCGATGGCGATTTTCGAAAAGGCCCGTCAGCATCTGCAAATGTTCGGCGGCAACTCGCCGTACGCACAGCTGATGATGCCACAAATGTATGCACAGCAGGCGCCACCACCACCCGGTCTCGGCGCATTCCATATGTTCCAACAACAATGGCCGCAACTGACAGCGGGCTTCCTAGCCAGTGCCAACCAACAAGCGGCCGCCGCCCAAGCTGCCGCCGTTCAGGCGCAAGCACAAGCGCAGGCCCAAGCACAGGCGGCCGCTGCAGCTGCGGCAGCCAACCGCACCCCACCACCACCGCCGACGGCATCCACACCGTCGTCAACCTCGTCGGGCGGTTCACCTTCGCCCGATATGCGACCGCGCCAGTTCCAACGCTTCAGCCCCTATCAAGTGCCCCAACAACAACAACAGGCGATGTCTATGCCACCGCAAACACGCAGTCCACACAATTAAAGTGTTGAGCGAAGTTCAATTTTCGTTGTTGTTATTGTCATTAGTGTGCCGAAATCAGTATTATGGGGAAATCAACAGCTCAAGCTCAAGCTGAGGAGCTCATTAGCTAGTGAAGTGGATCGTTAAATTATTGTATTGTAATTTATTATTATCATTGTTTAAGTAGTTAATTAGAATTGAAAAATTCGCTTTTTGTTGCTTTGTGCGGGTGTCATCGAGTGCTCTTGACCACGGTTGCATTGTGGGGATCGGGTACGCATGGTATGAGTCAGCTTCGTTTGCTCGGCTTTTGAAARTTTTACTTTTTAAATCATATCGAGTCTTGTGTAAATGTTTTATGAAGGCATTACGACGAACATGTGGCGACCACCCTGCAGTCGGACGTGATACCTTGTAAATTATAATTTCCTTCTATTGCCTAAGCTATTTGTAAGTTTCTGCGGAATATGTTGTTCGTTCATAAACGTATCTCAGTGTGTTTAGAAATGTGGGTGTGCCGCGTCCACGCTTTCCAATAAGTTATCATCAAACAAATATTAAAGAAAATGTGTGTATAATTGCTTTACAGCTGCTTAACGGTATTGTAACTACTACAAGTATAGAGGTATTGAGTAATAATATTTAAGTAAATTAAATTTAGTTGCTTAAATGACAAATACAACAAAAGCAAAGTGTTTATGTGTAAATTATGTAAGCTTCTAAGTAAATAAAAATAAATATAAAGTAATTCCGTATAGAAAAAATGCAAAAACAACATAAATGTGGATCCAAGCCCATTCAAAACCAAATCAAACCGAATAAAAAATCATTAATCATTAAAAATTATTTTGAAAATAAGTGTGTTATTTAAAATTGAGCATCTTTCACATTTATTTGAAATGACTGAACAGGAACTGAATTCACCTCAGCTGAATATTTTTGAAAAAAGTTTTCAAAACTTTTTGAAATTTTTCTTATATACCAATGTTGAAGGTTAATATTAAGGGATTAGCTATTTGGCTTTCATCATTCCCATTTTCTCTTATTTTTATAAGGGARGTTTTTCCACCAATCATTTCTCGAATAATTTTGTATAAAAATTCGAGCCGAAGAATGTAAAGCTGCTATCCTGTAGGGAAATTGTCCCATTGAAAACAAAATATTTATTTAAATAGAAGATAAGTCCCACAGTAACTTTTTTATGGCAAAGTTGGTAGTCGAAAAAGACTGTGCGTATTTTGTCAACAGATGTCGTTGCACTGGAGATAGTGCTACCAATCACATTGTGTCATACCGCATAGTGTTGGCAAGGTGAGATTTTAAACTCTATTTAAACAAATAAAAATGAAATTCGGGGGGGCTGTTAAAAAATTAGTGAAAATAATGAAGAAATTCGCTATATTTTGAATTAGTGTATAAAAAAGGAAAGAATGAAACGCAAGCCACTAATGAAATTTGTGAAGTTTACGGAGGCGATGCTGTATCAGTTCGTGTATTCGTGAAATTTCGATTTACAGTGATGAAAGTTTTTAACTGATAGAATAATGCCTCTAGCGGAGCAATAGGAAAAAGTGGTCGACCAGTATTATGCATATTTGTTTATTTATTTATTATTATGAATATAAAAAAAAACATAAGTTGAAGTTTGATTAGAAACGCCAAAGAGACTTTTTTGCTCAAAATTTCCTTGCTGGGTATGCGCTCAACTTCAATTCATTTCCAATTTCTTCCGCAACTAAGTTCTGCTGAAATTGAATACATTACACGTAGGAAGTATGTATGCATGTGTATGAGAGAGTATACGATTTATACAGCTTGATCTCGAAGCCATCCATCAACACATCGTAAAAATCTGATATCTGTGAAAGAGCTGCGGAGAGTTGGCGCTCAAAGGGCAACTACTCTGCCACCAACGGCACCACTTGCCATAGGCAGCCTTCAAAGAGGGTACGGCATCACGGCTGATTAGCATGTCGAGTTTAATTGCCGTCGGCTCTGCAGCCAACAACGTAAACCAACCGATATAAGCCTACAACAACAACAACAATGCACTTGCATTTGTGTGTAAATTTAATACATTGGAATGCCACAKTCACCAGCGCGCATATTTATACAATCCCCAAATGCAGTAAGAATTGCAATAACAACAACAGCAAAAACAATAAGGGTATACGAAGAGAGTACTTAACAATTTTTCAATTTCATTTTTTGAGTGACCATGAAAATGAATTCGTTTCTGGCATTGCACTCAAGTGCATCTGTGGCTGTGGCAGCTCAGCGCCAAGACGAGCGCATCTGAAGTGTGATTGAGGTTAGCGCTGGGGCCGAATGCCTGCAAGAGCACGCATATGCGCTTTCTAGCCGTCGGTTGCTGGCGTTGTTGCTATGATGTTRGACTGCTGGACAWGAGGCATAGAATTGGGGAATAGCTGTCAGTGCGGCAGTGGCAAATGAATTTGTGCTCGCAGTACCAAAGCGRCACCGCGCATGAGCGAGCAAGGAGGGTTGCAGCGGCTAGGGAAGGATGGAGCGGCCATCGCCGAAAGCGATATGTTACCAATTTGTTATGCATACACACACAGAGCCTTAAAGGAGTGCGTAAGTGATGTGTGAATAGTTAAGGAAACATAGACAAATGAACACAAACACACATATATACATAAGTATATTGCTGGAATAGGAATCTAAAATTGTCGGCGAAATTTTCACGCACTTTTGGCCACTTACAAATGGAGGATTCCTTCATTAATGCTTGGTTTAGCGCTTCGAACGTTGTTTCTTTTGGTTTTGAATTTCAAAGTGTTAGAAATGTTTATAAAGATTTTACGATGCGCTAACGGCATTTGAMAATTCGGTTTGATTTATCCTCACTTTCAGCTTCTCGAGGCATACGAGGTGAGTTTGTGTGTGTGCGAACGCTTCTTGCACTTATTGGTCATGCATTGATTGGAAATATGTTTCAATAGTAAACTATGTCCATATCCAAGGCGATTTGTTGAAAAGCGTAGCCAAATTCTCAAAAGAAAAAGTAGGCAGCAAAACAAATTATGAAATTATATTTCACAGAAATCGTGGAACTGATTAGCATGACAAAATTGCTAATGTACATATATAACGGATTGGTTGTAAAGTATGAAATATGTATAATGCAGTAATATGAAGTATGAATAATATCATAAGACCCCCATTAACATTAATTAATTAAGTTATAATATAAACTCCAGACAAAAAACTGCAGAAAAAAATTTTATATAAGCTCTATAAATTCTTTCGGATGTACATAATTAAAAATATCTTCTTCCTCTCTTAAGTTTGAAGTYCTTGACCGCAAAAAATCGAAGTAACAAAGAAAGACTATTCCTTTGGGATAATTTTAATTTGTCTCACTTCCTTCCTACTAGAAAGTATAGAAGAGTAGAAAAGATTATAGATCACGAAATAATATTGAAGGCGCTGAATATCGCAGCCTTACATTGCTTACAGAACAGGTAGGCCAACCAGTACTGCTCTGGACCAGTTAACCGCAGAAATTTAAAGCTCACTGGATGGTGGAGAGGTGTTGTTATGTGCCTTCTCAAACATCAAASGTGCTTTTAACAATATGTCCCATGAAAATGTGTCAAAAGGAATGGGATCAGTTTGGCGCACTAATACAGCTGAGACCACCGTAGAAGATCCTAAGATTSAAGAAGATTGTTCACAAGGTCAGGTTTTATCCACATTACTATGGAGCCTATCAATGAATGAGCATCGTGGGCTGCTAACCAACAATGGCAAGGAAAATAGAAGTGACTCATTTAGTCAAATATCTGGCTTTCAGCAAAGCTCCAAAAGCCCCCAATCGACCTACTTGGAAACTTGCACCTGCGCATCGGATGCATCGGGCGGCAGAAAATTATGGGCAAGAGCGCCAAGGCGTGCGCCAGGCAAAGTTGCTAATGGGTGATTACAAACTCACCAGTTTTAAAAATGTAATCAAACTCCCGAGAGACAAAGTCCAACTACATGTCGCATTTTGCATAGGGAACTGCACGCGCAAGGACCGCTCCAGCGTCTAAATTGTGTCAAACATTTTTTTTTTTTTTAGTTTTTCGTGAAACTCATGAGATTTTTAGCGTAAATTTAGCGCTCAAAACAAGTTTATACACAATTTCCACAAATCTCCCAATCCCATGCGTCATAACCTCAATTTATTTCCCTTTTTTTGGAAAATATATTACACGGATGGATGCGCTGCGTTTAAAGTTCAGCACAAATTACTTGTGGAGGGTTGGCCGATTAGAAAGTAATTAACTTCGTGAATGTGCGTACATAACATTACACCACTCGGCTCCGCTCCACTCCACTCACGCATCGCTACCAGCTACCAGCTACCAGCTACAAAACACGGTCAACTGATTTAAAAGCAGATAAGACTAAATTATGCCGCCACCTCGAATTGCGACCTTTTTTCTCCTGGCAATGACACCTGGCCAAAGAAGCATAAAATTCTCATCGAGTCGCAAGAAAGTAGTCAATTTGACGCAATGATAACAACAAAAAAACCAGCGACTGTTGCCTGTGTCGAAAGGCGCTGAGTGTGTTTGTGTATGTGTGAAAGCGTGTAGTTAGTTAGGCAATTACAAGCATTCTAATAGAGATAGGAACGCGGACAGGTAAATATTTTACGCGCTGCCGACGTTATCCTGGCCGTGCGCTTATTTGTTTAACATTAAAGTTAATTGTTTTATAATTACTTGTACAAGCGATAAATTTGGGTGCGGAATACGTGGGCGAAAACAACACGCTTGAAGGCGAAAACATTTCAGAGAGGAAATGTGACCTGGTTATTAAAGAAGTATACATTATAGATAAGTCTATAGCATATTACAGGCCATTCTTAATTATTTGGTKGCATGTAGACTATGTTAGATTTCACTTGTCATTGCAGTTCCCGCACCTTGCCGTTTTTTTTGCAACTTACCACACATACGCCCCAAATCTGGCCACCTGATTTCACCAACACTTGCATTCGCATTAATTACTGCCACCATTTTAGCCAAGGCACGCAGTAGCTGGCGGCATTTTATTGCAAAAACCAATCAGAGAGTCATCACCGAGTCACTGCATTTGCAACAGCTACTGTGCAACGCGCTATGTGCAGTTCTTTGCAATCGGCAACAGTCATTAGCGGCGCACGTGTTGAGCACACACCCTACAAATAGGCCCACAAGTGTGTGTGTGTAGGTGTGCGAGGTGTTTGTTTTATTGTGGCATCCACACATTCCAACGGCACTTGGCGCAGCGCCTCAAGTGGGCAATGAATGGCGGCGGCTGAAGTGAAAATCATTCGATGCCACTAACATGACACGCGGCACATCGCCGAGCACCGTTACAACAAATGAAAACGCTGATTGTCGCATTACGCGGCGAAATGCTCGTTTCGTCGGCTGACGGGCGTAGCTGGTAACAGTACAATCAACGCGCCGCATCATGCGACAGCTCAGCTATTGAAAGTTGCATTCATGCGCCACCACACACACACACACACACACACTTATGTGCGCTGGTGTTACGCATATGCGGTCATGTTGCACGCAATTGTCGACGCGCTTGCAACACTAATGGCAACGCAGCATATCGCGGCTCAGCAAAGCACCTTTGGGAACACGCCCGTTGCGCTGGTTAAGTGAAAATGTGCACAAATTAATATTCGCATTTTTTTGCAGTGTAATTAAAAGATAAAGCAGCGCCGCACAGCAACGAGCGGAAGACTAAAGGGCGGACRCAGTGCGACGGAAATCAATAAGTTTTGCGGTAAATGGATTTTACAA